TTAAAAGCACCTGAAAATCAGAAAAATGAATATATTTTTGTATAAAATTGGTATCAAAATCATTATATTTTTAGTACCACTTGTAAAATATTTTATGAAATAATTAAAGATTTTAATAATTGGAGAAAACATTTGGAATTTTATTTCAACATTACTTCATATGAAATGTTAGGAAATTTATTTTTTTGATTTAATGTTTACTTTGTTTCTTCATATGTAATATAAAATTTGTATATAAAATACAAAATAAAATAAGTGGATCACCACTTGGACTAATACAACCCGTCATTACAATCTATTCAATATAATTACATACAAACGTTTAAATATAATTAATGTAAAACTTGTTAAATTACAATTTATAATAATAGATACATTGATATAAGAATAGAAACTTTTAAAATTATAATTTATAAAACTTAGAGAGCAATCAAACAATCGTTAAATATTTATCAGAAAAATATTTTAAACAATAATATCACGTCAAATAGAGATTATGGTAATAATTGGAACCGTTTTTGTGTATAATCTTTCAATTAATTGCACTTTTCTTCTCAATTAGCACTCAATCATCACTTATTTTTGTGTTGCGCTAAAGAATTGCTTGTCTTTAATCATTGCATTCAAACTAATTGTTATCGTTAGAGCACCGGAACTATTAACATGTTTATCCATTATATTATTTATATAAAACCAATCGCTTTTGTCATGTTTTGTTTGTTTGTTTCTGTGATAAATCATTTGTTGCGAAAACCCCTTTTAGATACGTTAATTGATAAACTTATCTTCTTGTTTTGAACAGTATAGTAGTCGTTGAACACATCGTGTAAAAGATCCTAAAAGTAAAATTAAATGTTAAATACACAGGAATTTATGCAATTTTAATGATATTGAAGACTAACTTATTGAACGTTTATAAATAAGTGGTTTTGATCGCCAATAAATAGTAACCATATATACAGGAATGCCACTCAATGTGATGAGCGCTCCCATCCCTGTCTCGAAAGGTCTTTCATAGAAAGGCAAGAGTAGGAGGAATGTACAGATGATGAAGAAGATCACCGGCAATATGATGCTCACACGGATCGGCCGGATTAAGTTGGGCTGCTTTACGCGCAGATATATCAGAGCGGCCACAGAGGAGGTGACGGCAAGTGATTCCGTAAATACCGCATAATTTATGAGAACAAACACTTGAGTTGTCGTCAAATACAGGAGCGATAATATGCACTGAAAACAAAGTAAAACATTTTTAATTTCTGACACTTTTGGTTTCATCGCATAAAAGTCTTACTAAAAACACAAGACTAGGCATTGGAGTGAAATATTTCAGATTAATCATAGCCAGACTCCCCGGGAGGTGACCACTGCGGGCGCCCACGAAGAATAGTCGGGAAGAGGCAAATATTCCACCGTTGAGACCACCGAAGGCGGAGAGGGCCACCGATAAGGGCATAATCCATTGGAATACTCCCAGAATCTTCTCGCCAAAGGTGGCGGCGACCGCATTGGATGTCAACACTTCATCCGGCGTTAAGACAGCGAAGTACGCGATATTTGTCAGCAAATAGATAATTGTCACTAATGGTAGCGATATATAAATAGCCCTGGGCAAATTTTT